TATATATTATTATTATTATTATTATTATTCAGCAATTCATATAGTCAATCTGTAGACCGGGAATATGCCTTAGTTTCCTAAATTCGGTTTTTTGAATATTCTTTTCCTTCCCAATTTGTGGTCCACACCCTATAATTTAAGATACTTTTTAAGAAATAAGAATCCATGCATCTTATTCTTTGTTTGGCATTTCTGTTGTCCTTAAATAAATTGTTTGGTATATTTTTTTTATGCTATTCCTATTCTTTTCAAAAGCTAGGTAGTATTTGACCTTTCTGGTATTGATTCTTACTGCATATTCTACAACTACAAACTATCAAAAGTTATGGAAATTATTATAAAAAAATGAGCCTCTTAAGTGTACGACAGAATGAGAGGAAAGGCTTGGTCAAAAAAAAATGGCAAGAAAGGTTTGACCTAGCTTTGCCCTAAAAAATAAAGTGAGTGCATGTATTATGCTCATGTGGAAGCATAATGTACATCTATTCTCGGTTAGAAACCAATTTGAGAGAGATTTTTTAGTCAGGAATTTTGGGAATCACCTAAGAATCACTAGATAATTTCAAAATAAACAAATTTGAATTTTTAGTTTTTCAATACTTAGATCTCACCCTTAAAAAATTGGATGGCCTTTGTTCAATCTTGAAATATTATTTTTTTAAAACCCATAGATAGTGCAATTTGGAAGTTTTCTCTTTTGAGATTTATCTATGGTTGAGTAGGTTATACCGAGATCCTAAAGTTAATCCTAAATTTGGTTGTATACGAGGGAGTAAGATAATATTTTTTGGCAATAAAGTGGACAAACAAGTCATTTTTTTGTGTTTAGGAATTAAAAGGTCATAATCAGTCAAACCGTCATTGTGGAAATTGAGCGACTGTGATATGGATGGTGCTCAAAATTGACAAAATTCTTTGTTGGACTTTAAGCGGAAATTACATACTCCCATGGCTCGGTATCACTTGTGACCAAAAGTAAACGCTCTTTTATTGTATAAAACTCCATTTGACATTATAATTCCAAAAACGTGGTTAGCATGCCGCTAAGCTCGCACATCTAGAAATGTGGGCTCCGTAATAAATATATTTTTAAATATAATTTCATCCTAAGTTTTTAAAAAATATACAATTTTTAACATGGAGATCATGAACATGATAAATAAATAAAATTTGAAACTAAAAATAATAATTATATTCAAAAAATATTTGGACTGTTAGTTACAATTGTTTTTAGATGGACCACCTATTTACATT